AGTCTTCATTTATTCCAACCTTGGTAGAGTTTATCATCGTGTTTGATACTAGTACATATTCAAACGATTAGAACGGGATGCACAGTGTTCTGGGGACTCTCGCGCACCGAAGAGCAGGCGCATATCCACGCGATCCGCGCGTTTTCCAAGGCCAGCGTCAAGCACATGGAGGTAGAAGACATGGACTTCTGCTACGGAGCCACGAGTAGGTATGTTTGGTCGACAGGACTTTATTCACTCGAATGAGTAGTAAGTACTACTTACACAGGTAGTTCATCCCTGTTCTAGTGTCATGAACGACGTGATCACGCTGAGCTCATTCCGGTCGTCGGAGAAGATTGCGATTTCGTTTGCGATGGCGCAGTCATGCAAGCTGGACGTGTTTGAAGAGCGCGTGGAAGACTCGACGAAGGAGACGCGCCACATCCCGCAGACCCTCGCCGACACGGGCGAGATCAAAAAGTACTCGCAAAAGGACATCTCGCAGCTGATTGGTCGGCTGTTTATCGAGGTACTAGTAGTAGTACTAGAAAGAGTGATGGTCACGAGTGTGGGTGTATGATATTTTAGCGCAGTGACATCAACCTGAACTCGGACATGCTGGACGATCCCGACTTCTTCTGGGACGACGACGAGTACCAGCCACTGTACAAGAACATGATCAAGTACTTGGACGTGGCGAATAGGGTGCATATCCTCAACACGCGGCTGGACGTCCTTCGTGAATTGTAAGGAGCTCTGGATGTGATGAATGATACTAAGTATGGGAATGCATGGCTTAGGCTGGACGTGCTGAGTGAGCAGCTGGAGCGGCAGCATGCCACTAAGCTCGAATGGATCGTGATCTGGCTGATCGTGGCCGAGGTGGTCGTCAAGGTCTTCTGGAGCATCCTCGTCAAGGACATCCTCGGCTTCTTTGACCACCATGGGGGGATTGAATAACCAAATGACTTTTGAAAATGTTTTCGATGGTTTGTTTTACGGATGTTATTAAAACAATTTTGCAGCTAGGAAATAATAATATATTTAAAGTTCAATCCGATACAAAGATCAAGTCAGAATTCCGTGACCTTAAGCTAGCATTTCGATATATTTTCATGATATTATAATTAGATACAAACATCAAGTCAGAATTCCTTGACCATACAAATGGTCAATCATATTCTTCGATCGTCCGACAGCCCTCCTTGAGTGTTGGCGTCATCATGCGATCCGCCTTCGCCGCGGAATCCAAAGGCGCCGACGGTCCCTCTGTCGACGAACTGTCCCCGTTGATGTCGTCATCGCAGCAACGATCGCCGACGCTCGACTACAACTCGGACTCGGGCGTGTATTATGGAAGACCCCGACCTGGTACGAACTATGACGTGCATGAAGATCTCCATATTCATCGTCTCGTCCAGACGCATCGCTCTTGCTCCGCCCACAGCACCAGAACTACGGCACAACGTCGACCTCGCAGTATCGCCGCCACGATTCGTTGACGGAGGACGAACGCGACGACGACTACGACGGGTTTGACCGAGCGTTCGAGACGAACCGGACGATGCCTCCATCTTCAGCGTCACGTCTTGCCCTGCGGGACTTTTTCATTCGTCCCTCCATGCAGGTCCAATCCTCCAGTTCCCCTTCATCTACCTAACATGCTCTCTCGACCTCTATAGACGGTGCTGAAAGAAACGACGAACCGGTATACCCGCCGTACGCGCATGCGCAGTATGAAGAAGTTTCGCGTACGACTCGTTCTCGCTCATGCTCATCCCCTGATGGACATGTATGTAGCAAAGCCTGGACGTGCCGCAACTGTTGCGCGTGGCGGCGTACTGCTCGTGCGAGTCGTCGTCGCTGTTCAAGCTGTTGCGGTGGTTGAAACGTATTCAGACGGGGCAACTCCCCGGCGGCGAACTCAACCCCAACGGATGGACGCACAAGATGCACATGGGCGTGATCCACTCGTCGTGCGTGTCGGATGACCGCGAAGAGTACGTTCCATCGCCCCCTCGTCATGATCACATGTCGGCTCCATCTCTAGCGACACCATCTCACACGAGATGCGCGCCGTTAAGCGCAAAGACGTGTTCTACTTTGCGTAAGACCCCCCGCAATTGATCGACATGCAAAAAGTGACGATGGACGGGGAGTAGGACGGGGTGCACCGTGTTCTGGGGGCTGACGCAGGCGGAAGAACAGGCGCATGTCCACGCGATCAGCGCGTTTTCCAACGGCATCCTCAAGCACGTGGATGTGGAAGAGATGGAGTTTTGCTACGGCGACAACAGTAGTAGGTGCAGTAGTCCCCCCATCTTGGTGGTTTGCGGACCCGGTGAAACTTCATGCGAGCATGTAGCAGTGTGGCCAACGACGTCGTGACGCTGAGCTCATTCCGGTCGTCGGAGAAGATTGCGATTTCGTTTGCGATGGCGCAGTCGTGCAAGCTGGACGTGTTTGAAGAGCGCGTGGACGAAACCATCCAGGAGACGCGCCACATTCCGCAGACGTTGGCCGACACGGGCGAGATCAACATGTACTCGCAAAAGGACATTTCCAAACTGATTGGCCGGCTCTTCATTGAGGTACCGTCATCATGTCGTGGAAACGTTTGCATGATCCAGTGAGTGTAGCGGAGTGACATCAACCTGAACTCGGACATGCTGGACGACCCCGACTTCTTCTGGGACGACGACGAGTACCAACCTCTGTACAAACATATGATGAAGTACCTGGACGTGGACAAGCGTGTGCACATCCTCAACACGCGGCTCGACGTGTTGCGCGAATTGTAAGCAGCTCTGGATGTGATGAATGGAATGAATGGTGGATACGATGCGTGTAGGTTGGACGTGCTGGGGGAGCAGTTGGCAAGACAGCATGACACGAACCTCGAGTGGATTGTCATCTGGGTGATCGTCGCGGCTGTGTTTGTCAAGATCTTCTGGAACATCCTCGTCAAAGACTTCATGGGTCTCTTTTGCCACAACTAATACACAAACTCCCTTTAACATACCTGCTTTGAACAGTCGGTGGTTGCGATAGCTACACAAGGATAGGTGAACACGCACACGCTATCTCTTCTCGTACACCTGTCTGTTCACGCATCTCCCAGTCGTTCCTGTTGTCATTGCCAGAAAGTGCGTCCGTGGGCCTCGATTCCACCTTCACGTGCATGAAAGTCATCACATGTCCATTGCCGCACTTCCTTTCTTTCATGCGCATGGACGTCGTCTCGTTCGTCTACATCGACGGACGCGCGGAGCTTGTCTGGACCTTCTTCTAGCTTGTCTGGACCTTCTTGCCGTTACTTTTGGTAAATGAATCGAACGTTTTTGAGGTGACCCGTTACTCGCTTGTGATTGGTCCGCTTTTATTCTGTATTCGACGCGACTTTTCGAATGAAGATTGCAAAATAACTCTATATTCGAATTCGGTCATGCGCCAGTTGCCGCGGGTGGCGGCCGCGGTGGTGTGCAATGCCCACCTCCTCATGCGAATCACTTCGTTCCAAGACGGGCTCTTCGGCAACCTGCTTCCACTCTTTGCTCTCCAGCGACACCTCGTCAACGAGCTCGACCAACGACGATACGACCTCGAGGTGGACGTGGAAGTCGAGTTCCGACAAACCACCTTCCGCATTCCTTTGTGTCCATTCAAGCGACTGTGGCTTGAGAAACTTCTAAAGCAAGCGTTGTTGCGGCGACAGACGGCGTGGGTCCGCCATGTCCTTCTCTGCAAACCATCAGCGGCCTCGTCCAGCCTGGTCGACATCGCCTCCCAGCAAGGTACGTTGCTACTTGCTATCATGCTGGATTGACCTTTGTGGTAGGCGATATTGAGATGCTCGAGTTTCTCCACACCCGACACATTCGTGGGTCCACAGAAGCCTTAGACAGCGCCAAGTCCCTCGCCGTTGTTGAGGTAGCCAAGCCATACTCTGAAAGGTTTGAATGATTTATCTACGCTTGTTGCATCGCCATTAGTACCTCCACGACCGCCAGTATGCATGCACGACGGCAGCGATGGACATTGCGGCCTTACGGGGAGCTCTGGACATTGTTCGATTCCTCCATGAACAGCGTCGGGAAGGTTGTACGGTACTAGCAATGGATTTCGCTGCATCGAACGGGCACTTGGACGTCCTCGAGTTCCTGCATTCCCATCGAAGGGAAGGATATTCGACCATGGCAATGGACATGGCCATCAAGCGGCGGCACATCCATGTCGTGGAGTTCTTTCTCCGCCATCGACACCATACAAACAACACGGGCGACGACGTCCTTCAGCAAGCCGCGGCACTGGTAGATGGTCACTCGGATCTCCCGCCTGTGAATGTTCGTGGATGATGATGATTACATGTCGAACTTAAGTGTCATCACCTTTGGCAGTTACAAAAATGCACCAATCACCGTGCTTGAATTTCGAAGCGACATCTCAACACTGTGAAACTAGTTTCGGGAACCGTTCGAAATAAAGTCATTGCTAAACATATGTCGACAACATTAGAGAGTCTCCTAAGCATCAATTGGTAACAGGCTGACGAGCAAGATCTGAATGGTCGCTCCAGCGTCCACGACACGACTGCACGACACCTCCACATCACAAGGCTCGGTCGTAAATGCCGTGTACGCAATAGCTTTGAGAGCTTTGCCGAGCTTGGACTACAAGCCAGACACTTGTATACCGTCCAGTTCCAAGCGCGCCTCTCCATTCGCTGGTCCATAGGTCACCTGGATTTGATACACCCCGGGATGCAACAACGAGATGACACCTTCATCGCCGTCGCAACACTCGAAGTACGCCGGATTCGAGTAGAGATCTTCGGTCCACGCCACACTGTCTCCGATGCTTGTGGCCGTTGTAGACTTGCGCGAAAAGTATGCCCAGTTCACAGTCTCTTCTTCTTTGGCCATGTCGTCATCAGGTCCACGTCCTCAGTTGTATGGTCGGAGTTCTGACCCGACAAGGCTTCCTCCAAATCGCGAACATTGGCCTCCAAAGCGTCAATTCGTTCCACTGCCAACGGCGCCATCTTGAACTAAAATAGCTCATCGAATGAGCCCAAGATAGCCAATGTCAACACAACTTGGATGTATCCATTCTCCAAGTCCTGAAGGGCCACGTGGCAGGTCTCGGGGGTCGTGCCTTGCATTGCACGCTAGTATGCACATCGTTAATCATATTCGTCCTACTAGTCACTCAATCCTCGCACCTTCAAGAACGTCACCACCACATCCGACGGTAAGGCGTAGCTCGCTCCGGACGTCACGTGGTCCGCGATGTTCGTGGCTACGCATTTCCTACGAATCAGTGAGTTTGAGGTAAAGATGAGACTTTGTGTGTCACCTTTGAGCTTTGGTTTTCTTGTCTTCCAACCACAATCGCATGGGCAAATCGCCCGTAGTGTCTCGAAGGTCAACGCGAATGAAGGCGAGGGATGTGATGGGGATGCAAAGTGGTGAGCGACAGCGCCGAGTTTGGCGCGAGGGCCGAGGTGGAGTCCATAGGGGAGGCTGATCGGTATGGCGTTGATCAAATGCAAAAGTGACAGCAACTGGAACTCTTCATGCTCGTGAATAGCCGTTGAGCGTCTGAGATAGAATGTGCCGTGTATTCCGATAGCCAAAGGTATTTGCATTACCGTGTTATTTAGTTGAATCCTTCCACTCCCCTGCTTTAGAGACTCGTTTATACCAGCTTCGACGTTTAATTGCTTAGGTGGTTTCATTGCCCACTTGATTTTGACCCGTCACTCGGCGATAGGCTGCCGTCGCACAATTTGCATAGGTACATGGTACTAGGCCCTCGAGGCTGGAGTTCTGCACTTGCATAAGGGCAGTGACACCACTCAGTATTGTTTTTGCTAGCTGGCAAAGTTCGAATAGGGACTGCGTGTCGGGACTGCGTGTCGTTCATAGAGCTAACGTTAACAGTGAAATCATATTCATGGGTACGACGATCGAACGGCCGCACGTCCATGAGGTGGAATGCCATCGAATGTATTTAACATGAGCGACTGGTAGAAGGAACTATCACAGCTCCGGCCTGTCAGTGTTTGTGGATACTGTAAGTATGATTTCGAAATTGAGGTATAGTAGCAGTTTCAAAAATGAACCAATCACCGTCCACTAATGATTGGCACAGAACCCTTGAACATTGGAAAACCATGAACCATACATATATATTGACAGATTAAAGGTCCTCTGCAGCACTAAGGTCACGCTGGCAATGGGCTGACGAGCAGGATCTGAATCGTCGTTCCAGCGTCCACACTACGACTGCAGTACAGCTGCAGCCCACACCGGTCCGTCGTAAATGCCGTATACGCAATACAATTGCGAAAGTCGCCGAGCTTGGAGTTCGTGCATGATACTTGCACACCATTCAGTACTAAGCGCACCACGCCACTCGTAGGTTGATAGGTCACTTGGATTTGATACACCCCCCGGGGTGCACCAGCGTGATGACAGCCCGATCTTCGTCGCACCACTTAAAGTATTCCGGATCCGAGTAGAGATCGTCTGTCCACACAACCAGTTCGTTCTTCCATGTGGCCTTCGTACACTTGAGGGAAAAGTATGCCCGATTGACTGTCCCTCGTTCTTCGGTCACGTGGTCATGAGCGTCCTCTCCCTCGGGCTCTTGGCTTACGTTCCGACCTTGACTGGAGTTGGCTATAGATTCCTCCAAATCGCGAATCTTGGCCTCCACAACGTCAATTCTATCGATTGCCAACGGCACCATCTTGAACAAGAACACCTCATCAAGCACGCCCAATATCGCTACTATCAACACAACTTGGATGTATCCATTCTCCAAGTCCTGAAGGGCCACGTGGCAGGTCTCGGGGGTCGTGCCTTGCATTGCACGCTAGAATGCACATCGTTAATCATACTCGTCCTACTAGACACTCAATCCTCGCACCTTCAAGAACGTCACCACCACATCCGACGGTAAGGCGTAGCTGGCTCCGGACGGCACGTGGTCCGCTATGTTCGAGGTTACGCATTCCCTACAACACGGTTCATTCGAGGGTAATAATCCACCAATGCTACCATTGAGCTTTGGTTTTCTTGTCTTCCAACCACAATCGCATGGGCAAATCGCCCGCAGTGTCTCGAAGGTCAACGCGAAAGAAGGCTGAGGGGTGTGATGGAAACGAAAGGTTGGTGAGAGACAGTGCCGAGTCTGGTGGCGACTCTGGAGGCAGGGCCGTGGTGGAGGCCATGGAGGCTGGCCGAGGGGTCATACGGCAAATGAAAAAGTGAAACTCTGGATGTACGTGAATAGCCGTGGAACTTCTCGTCGCTATGAAGCTATTCAAATAAAGTATCACTAGAAGCTGTCGCATACTCTAAATCTGAATTTCATTTCTCTGTCGACTTCACGAACTAAAAAAGCATATTTCACACGACGAAACTCTACTAGTATTGTCGCACGCGTTGCTGCCGTTGGCTTCTATGGACCGATTATCAACACACTATTTGTATTGCTACCATTATTTCGGGCGTGCCGTTTTACAGTCAAGTGAGTTTGCAGTGCTTGACAGTGTGAGGTGGGTTTCACATTATTATTGTCAAAGCAGGGAGAAATTAGCACTTCAGAAACGAAATATTCATTGAGCCACCATAATTATCGACGTAGTATTTCAGCATCGCAGGGGCGCCTTGGTGGTGCTCGCAGGGCTCAGTAATCGCGGCGAGGAGCAGTCGTCGTAGTTGGGGCCTTTAATTCCAGGGCAACCTGCCGATCCCACCAACTACATTTGTGGGAATACGTTGGCACGCACGATATGGAGCGTCGCACTGGTGTCCAAATACTGACCGTAATACACCTCCACATAACTACAGTAATCTGCGTCGTGAACTCCGTGTGCGTGATGGTGTCTCTGTTCTTGGTCCCATACGACACAGAGTCCAGCAGCAATTTCACGCCCCCAACTGCCCGTCCAATCGGCACCTGAATGTGATACACCCCCGGATGCAACAACATGGTGACAGTCTCATCATCACTCAACTAAAAATACTCGGGATTCGAGTGGACTTCCTTGGCCCACATAATCTTCTCCGAGTGTGCGTACGTTGACAACTTGCGACAAAAACACGCCCGATTCACTGCCCTCCTCCTTCTTCGGCCATGTCGACATCAGTTGATTCAGCCCCCAATCCTTCCTCCAAATCGCGAACCTTGGCCTCCAAAGAGTCAATTCGTTCAACCACCAACGACACAATCTTGAACAAGAAGTCCGCATCAAGGACCCCCAAAATAGCCACTGTCAACACAACTTTGACATGTCCTTTCTCCAAGTCTTGAAGGGCCACGTGCCAAGTCTCGGGGGTCGTGCCTTCCATTGCACGCTATAATACACACACTTGAGATCATATTTCCACCAAGACAGACTACTGGTAGATTGCACCTTCAAGAACGTCACCACCACATCCGACGGCAACGCGTATCTGGCCCCTTGAGGCACGTGGTTCGCGATGTTCGTGGCTACGCATTCCCTGCAACCAAAATTTACAGTTAATGGAGGTGACAACGGCCAATTGCCAATGCTACCATTGAGCTTTGGTTTTCTTGTCTTCCAACCACAATCGCATGGACAAGTCGCCCGCAGTGTCTCGAAGGTCAACACGAAAGCAGACCGAGGGATGTGAACGTCAACGAAGTGTCTGGCGGGAGGGCCGGGGTGGAGCCCATGGGGGAGGCTGGTCGGGGGGTCATTCCGTCAAAGCGAAAGAAAAAGTGACAACGGAGCTCGTGCAGCGAACCCTCTCTTTCCAAGTCAACTGTTCATTCGATTTCTCTCCGAGTATTTAGTACTCGAATCTCATTTGGAACGTGACTTTCCCCTAAGTCGGTTCTGGCAGATGGCGGTGGGTGATGCTTTGGTCTAACCATCAGTTAAGTCTTGAATCAAATCGCGAACTCCGCGATGACACATGTTTCTGTTGTAGTTTGATTACTACACGATTATACAGTTAAGTTGGTCGAATGCCTGATGTATTTGGCCATGCACCCGATATAATTAGCCATGTGCCTTTAGTGCCATATGTACTACTACTGTACATGTAGTAGTACGTAGTATTTGGATAGCGCAGTCAGCCAGTTGTCAGATCCTATATTTCCGCTGTGCAGTTTACAAAAATTTACAAAAATTGGGAGCAATTAACTAACATTAATTGTAGTTATTGCCGCACGCGTTGTGCCCGTTAGATTATTAACGGCTCTTTGTCTTCCAAGGTACTACTACTACTACTTACGTCATTCCCAAACTGTCTCTTATGACTGTGCTTCCCCGTCCGTCCTTGTCCTCCGACGCATTGTACTTGTCCTTAGCGTCTGGAGCCCCCACAACCCCCAAGGACTTCGTGCACTGGTCAGTGCACTCGCACAAGGCCTCGTTTGCACTGTCAAGTGACACGACCGAAGTGACGTTTCTGCAGGCGGGGATGTACCACGTTCAAGTGACCGGGGAGAGCCCCAACTGGTCGGGGGGGCTGGGGCTGTGGCTGAGACTGAACGGCGCGTACGTGGCCCTGACGTCGTTCCATCAGCAGGGCGACACAAGCTGCTTCGCCCAGCGCCTCTTCTGCCCCAAGGGAACCACGCTCAAGGTGTACTCGAGTCTCGCGGCACCCATCCTTATCGGGGCGACCTTGTCGGCCGTGCTCATTGGGGCATCCCCCTAAGCCCAACACCGCAACCGTACATACCTGGGTATAAAACACTCGCTATTCATACCCCTTCAACACGAACAACTGTGAATATATGGACTTATGCCACTAATATGATATTGACTCGTTCTAGACGAGGATAACTAGAGAGGGCTCCGAAGTGTCGTTTTGAAGGGCAGAATACAAGCGTTCCCATAGTGTATTAAGTTAGTCACTAAGTGGTGAACACTGGGATGTTTAATACTTGACTTTTGTGTCCTTTAACAGTGGATGACTGCCAAAAATCTCGCAAACATAATTTTTCATTTGTAATAATAATAAAATAAAACCCTCCACAAAATTTGTACGATGCGAAGTCGAAAAATCAATCTTCGCATAGTCTGGTCCACAAACCAAAATATATGCAAATTAATACATCAAAGCCTCTATAAATTGATATTTCCACAACGAAATGAATTTGGGTTTGCCCCAAAATTCTTCTATCCGGAAGAATTTGACGAGCTTATTTTCGTTTGCGAGATTTTTGGCAGTCATCCACTGTTGTTGTACTCCGGAGTAATCGCTTTCTAAAGTAGCAAAATCGTCCAGTTAATTTGGCCTAGAACTTGTACGCAAACGTGAGGAACGCCGTGTGGCCTCGCATTTCTTCGTCGCGCTTGGCCAGTGTCACTGTCTTGGGCTTATCCGCTTCATTTTCTACTTCGTCTTCGACGGCTTTTCGCTTCACTCGTTGGTACTCCACTACCCCATAAATAAATATATATATTTAAATCGAACAAAAATATATGAAAATTATGTATTACCTTCGAACGACGGCACTGGCAACGCCACCGTGCGCGCCGAGTACGGCATCAACCGCGTCTCAATCGTACGGACGCCTAATCCAAAAGTAAATAACACAAATAAAAAATACGAAGTACATGAACAAAAAGAAACTATTCCACAATAATAAATAATAAATAAGAACTAAATAGATGAAACCAGACGTACGATCGAAGCCATCCAATCGGAGCGCGTCGCACGTGCGCTGGACTTGCTCCATACATGGCGAGTACGACGCAAACGCGCCGTGATGCTTGAGCATCTTCTTGGCGTGACCCACCTACAATTGTGAAGTTAACAAAAGGTGTTGTGTTTTTTTTTTAACAAAACGTGTCGCGTTCTCTAACAAAACGTGTCGCGTTCGCAAACAAACATCAACGTACGGCTTTCCACGGGCACGGGAGGTCCAGAAAGACGACGTCCACCTTACCCGCCAAATGCTCGGGAAACCCTACGCCCATATCATGATGGAAAGTGAGATGGAAGGCTGACGCTGGCTGATCGATGGAGGGAGGACCTTGTTCGCACGCGTCGCGGCATTCGATCGTGACAACGTTCTCCAAACCGTTCGCGATGAATTCCTCCCTGGTGATGCATGCGGATCAGAATTCGAGAGATAGTTGGAGAGAAAGGTATGGACGAACTTGGCGACTTGGGCTCGTGTCGCGTTGAACTCGAACGTGTACACATGTCCATGGGGTGCGACCGTGCGGGCAAACGCCGTCGTTAGCGCGCCGCTGCCAGTCCCGGACTCGATCACGATCTTCCCTACATGGACCCGATGTAATGAGGTACGACAAGAAAAAGCGGTGGACGCTACCGTACCAGGGGCGCAATGGGTTTGAAACGTGATGGCGCTGGCGTCCAATGTGAACACGATCTGCGTACGATGACGCAGCGCTTTGCTCCAAAGCTCAGGAGTCGGTGAGAGGATGTAGATGTACCCCTTGGACATGCGCGAATACACCTTGGCTCCGTACCGGTTGCCGATGATGTCGTTGTGGTGAAACGCCCCGTGGCGGTTCTGGTAGATCTCGTCAGGTTTCACGTACGCGTACGTGATGCTGTTGTGCGTCTCGAACAAGACCACCAGGTCTCCTGCTTCGACGATGGTCTTTCCAGCCCACATGGAGAACGTTGGCGTCGTCGGCGCCACGGCGACGTGATCGGTTCCCACGGCCACTTCCATTGTTCAATGCGGCAAAACGATTGGTGCGAAAAATGCGCCAATCAGGGCTCACTTATTCAAAAATATATCTTTCAGGTCAATTCACAATTATTTCGGAATATTACTCCCGAGTAGTATTTAGTTGGAGCGATTTCATTGGTTTCGAGGTTTACCGTGGCTACGAAAACGTTGAAAAATCGCCTAAAAGCTCCTGTAAAATGAGAAAATCAACTTCGAAGTGTATATGCATTGCGACGGATTAATCTATTGCGACTCCTGTAATAGCCGATAATTTGCTTGTAATAACTGATACCAGTACCAGTATTTACTTGTGAACATGTTGAATACTAGTATACTTCAAATTGGTACTAGTATGACGCAATGGATTAACAAAATTTTGAAAACGAGTGTCGGCTGGTTGTGAAATATCACCTCTCGCAATACATATACACTATACGGTACTGTAGTTAACAGTAAGGTACTACTAGTAACTACTATTAATAGTACTTAGGCAAGTGCAACAGGGCTACGTGATGAACCACCTTCCAGGGTAATGTTACAGTAGCCGTCCACCAGTGTAATTTACTATATCCTAACTTAGCTACTGCGTAACTGGTGGACGGCTAACATTACCCTGGAAGGTCACTAACTACTGTACGTCCACTCCATCGAGGAGTAGGGGTGTTCACAAGTGTACTGTAGTAACTTTGGTGCTGGAACGAGTGGTAGGGTACATATATGGCGATTGTCAAGCAGGCCCACACTCATCGTCATCGCGCGCGCATCGTACGTACTACCGTAGCGCACCTTCTTAGTCACAGGCATAATCATCTCCGCCGCGCCATTGTCTTGCCGCACGTCGTCCAGGGTTGTCGACACGGCTAGCAGCACTGTAGGGTTAACGACATCTCCAGCCGCATCATCTCCACCAGTAGGAGCCGTCCCTTCGTCGTCCACTACCAACGCGGGATTGTTCATTCAGACTCCATCATCAAAAATGCCTTTCTAGCGACTATGCTACAGTAGTACTCCTATACAAAAACTACTACTATTAATAGTCCTACTACTTGAACTACTGTAATATAAATATGCCCTAAAACATCAAAAGATTATTGTTTTCAAAGTCATCCTCGCACATCCCTTGCACATCTTGGACTGGTCGAGTTCTACTAGTACTACTATATCCTTGCTGCGAGAACCCATGTCATTTACTAGTAACAACTAACTCCATGACATTCCGCATACAGTACTACTAGTATACGTAGTAGTACTGAGTAACGTTAGTATATTTGTCCAAGAGGATGGATCTGAAGGTTATTTTAGAAGCGCCGTTTCCACGGTGGTCTTGACGGTGGCTAACAACGCCCATATATACAAAGCAAACGAAGGCTCGTAGTAGGAAATCCGCTGCATAAGACACCGCTCGATCCCCTCCATTTCCTCGTCCTCCACATCTCATAGTACTTCCTGATACTGTACTGTAGTCAGTCAGGTACGAGTATAGTTGTTTCAGCTACTAGGTAGTAGTGTATATAACGTAAACAGTAAATTACACAACCACTTTAACGAGGAAATATTTTGTCAATATTATAAAAGTGGCCAATGTGGCATTTTTATCTCTCGACGCTGAGTTTAATACAAACGTGTAGGTAATTTAATATGTTTGACCAGGAACTCCGAAGTTCGAAAAAGACAGATTTCCGGATAAACTGACCGCGGATCCGGATTAATGGGGTTGTGGATATCACTTGGTGTTTGTATGTTGGCACACAACAGGCAGGACATTGAATAACATTCAGAAGACGGTCCAGGTGGTGCGACGATGGACGAAGAAGGAACAGCACCTCAAGCGCGTCGTGCTCCTACTTCTGGCGGCGGAGATGAAAGCACCATGTTTATCTTCCACGCAGGGTATCCAGGTGATGTGACAGGGGACGTGCCTATCCCTTCCACTACCTTGCCGCCTGGGAGCGACGTGGACATGGTGGACGAAGACAACGATGCCGCCGCAAGCGCACAGCAGGACGCGGACGCGGCGATGAATATGCCAGTGCGTAAGAAGATTCGATTGAGCTTCATGCCCGACGAGACGTGCGGCAGTGGGAATAGTACCGACGATGAGAAGGATATGCAGCAACAGTTGCAACTACGCCTGTTTGGGCTGCTTCGCACGGGGGAGTCCAAGCATTTTGCGGCGCTGTTCACGCAACAGCCCGCGAAGACACGGCACACGCTTCTGAGCGTAAAGGACGAGATCGGGTTCACGCTCTTGATGAACGCCGTCAAGTATTCCAACTTGGACGCGTGTCGGCTGCTGGTTGCGCACCACGTGGACGTGAACGAGTTGAACGACAAAAAGTGCTCCGCCTTGTTTCTGGCGGCACAGAAAGGCATGGTGCCCATCACCGAGTGTCTCCTCGACGGCGGCGCGTCCTCGGAGTACCGCAGCGCCGCCCTCGTCCCCGCCGCCCACTTTGGCCACATCGACGTCGTGAACCTTCTCTTGGCCCGCGGCGCCGACGCCAACTACGCCAACCAGAAAGGGACGACGCCCTTGATGCGCGCGGCCCAGGAAGGCCAGGCCGCGGTCGTGTCGGCCTTGCTGGGCAAAGACGCCGACTCCAACGCCGCCAACGTACGTTTGTCCGCAACTTGCTGAGCAACTCTGACCTCGTCTTCCCTTGTAGATGGAAGGCATGACGGCACTCATGCTGGCCTCCCAGAGGGGCCATGCGGACATAGCGGAAATCCTCATCTCCGCCGGCGCCCTCGTCGACAAGCAAACGGTTCGTCATAGTTTTTTGTAAATTTTTGGTGTTTTTTCGTGGTTTTAAACAATTATTGACGAAATGATGTACGTTTGATAGCGTCAAGGCAGCACGGCGCTACTGCTAGCGGCCAAGCGAGGCCATGCCGGCGCCATCACGATGCTCCTCACGGCGGGCGCGGACATGTTTCTCAAAGACGAGCGCGATAAGACCGCCTTGGACAACGCCGCCCGCCGCGGCAACGACGAGCTCATTCGCATCCTCACGATTGAGGTATATATATATATATATTAGTGAACCATGTTTACTATATATATATATATATATTTAGTATTATTCGATGTATGAATAATGTCCATAGAACCAACAAGCACTGATGAAGATGCGGTTGCGCAAATTGCGAAGTTTGGAACTGGTCAAAATGTACACGTTGTACCTGAGTGGGCGGGCCACGGTACGTTGAATCAATTCATTTTATTAAAATTTCAGAGTCTTTTTTATTGGACCATCATTTAATATAGTATACTGTAGCTAGTTTTAAATTTCTCAATTTCAGAGTTTTTTTGATCGACTAAATATACTGTAGTTTTTAAATATATTGTAGTTTTTCGTAAACTTGAGTACGTTCAATGAAGTATATGTACTTTTTTATAGACTTCTTCATGTGTATAGAGTATTTTCAAGCAACTAAACTGTAGTTTTTTGTTTCAATTTCAGAGGATATTTTTTAATGTATATATATATATAGCTGGCCCCCCGTCGCGTCCCGCATCTTGTGCCGGGCAGCCTCGAACTGCCGTCTTCTCCTGATGTGTACATGGCGTTTGGTGGTGGCACGTCGGTCGCTAGTACTACTACTAGTAGTACTACGCTGACCCCCAACCAGTCGTACCTGGTGCGGTCGTTCACGCTGCCCAAGCCGCTGTTCCGGTTGATAGTGCACTTTCTGCCACTCTGTCGCATGTGGACGATCCAGCTGCGCAATTTGACGCACCATTTGCACGTGGACCCGAGCCACGTCGTGCACAAGGGCATCCACATCATGGACGAGGTGCTGTACGACGTCAAGCGCGACCTCCCGCATCTCGACGCCGTGGTATGTGTGTGTCTGTAGACTGTATCTCATATTTTGGTGGATTTAGACGGGCGTGGGGCAGTTGGTGCTGCTGCGGGACTCGCCGACGTACCAGCAAGTGCTAACGACATGGCTGCATGCGGCGGGGGACGTGCCGGTGCCCGCGGGGCTCTTGGACGACCTCCGGCAACATGGAGACTTGCAAGGCGTGCTGCTGCGGTACCCCGACGTGGACGCGATCGAGTTTGGCGTGCCGGTTGCGTCCAAGGTGCTGGCGACGCTGCAGTGGCTGTTGGTGTGGGACGAAGAGCGACGGCGACATAGTTAACAGACACTAAGTATTTAACACACTGGTTGGTACCACACGACTTGAAACCTGGTACAGTTGTACGAAGTAGGTTACTTTGAAGTATATGTACTCGAGTACTACGTAGTAACGTTATTGGTACTACTAATTCGAGTTCAAAACGAACTGAGTCGACGAGTAATCGACGGACCCGAAGTAGCCAATGAAATTATCGAATGTAAAGCTTTCGACCAATCAAATCGTAGGAGTATCCGGTGCATTGCCAAGCTTCTCCATTTCACAGAGTTCAACATTGTATCTGACAGGATTTACTGTGAGTATATTTTACAGGTGTACTAATAAAGTAAAACGACGTCTCGACGATTTCAGGTACTTCGAAGTAACTAGATGACGTCGTTCGTCGAATCTACCAAAAATACCAAATTTAGCTTGAAAGCACAATATAGTAAGTACTGTATTACTACATACTAGTAGTAGGTTACTTTGGTGTAGTTTTGTTGTTTATTTGAAACTGGAGCAACTTGGAGAATGAATCGACACAACCAATGTCGGCAGAAGGATTTAGCCAACCAGGTTGCAGGAAACCATCATCAATGTCAAATTAGTGTATTATTTTTCAATTAGTGTGATACCCATCACACCTTTTTTAGCATACAAAATTCAGTAAAATGAATCGATCATAGATTTGGCGATTCAGCACTAAAGTCCAAATTTTGGTTAAAAGGGCAATACTAGTACTCCAGTATTAGGGCGTGTTCGGAGCGACTTTTGTGTCAGCGGTTTTTGGCTTTTTCCACAAGCCGCTGAAATATCAGCGACTTTTTGCCTTCACTAACTTTGGTTAATAACAGAGAAAAATCAACCAATGATGCGTCCTAAAATTCATTGTCCATTTTCAGCTCTATGACAGCGGAGCGCAGAAAATTGTTGTCGCGTAGTGGCTGTGGTGGCCAAATGTTCAGGCGGCGAGTGGCGAAACGACGTAGAGTAGATATAGCGCATGAGAACTATGTATCTACGCAAGTCAGTAGTAAGTCGGCGGCTTGGAAATATAGACTGCCACGCTAATGGCGCACCGGTAAAGGTCAAACCGACCGACAATGCTATGTGTTTCAACCTTGTGCGTCGGTGTGACCTTCTCCTTCCCGAAGGAGTCGTGCAGTCATCACTACTAACTCTAGGCATGCGCAACCCATAAGATCAACGCCTAGCTAACCTAAAATCAGTTTACAATACACAGAGCCTAGAGTTCAGTACAAGTAGGAGGTCGCGCGGGAGGGGCATGTGTACAGCGTTCGATGCGTTGTGTGTGCAGCTACCCTCGACATGGAAATGACTTACCACAGCCGTGCTTCACATGGGTAAAGTTCTCCCGTCGAGGACCTACCAGTACACACCGGAGTGGAGTGACGAACCACCGGCACCCGACAAGGGCGTGCTTTGGGCGTGATCCTGCGAAATTTTGGTTAGCAATCAACAATTTATTCTGATATTTTTGCCCAATAAATAGCCACAATCCCAAAAGTCGCTGTAATTGACCTCTTTGCAAAAGTCGATGGAAACGATTTTGATTGGCTACTTTTCCAAAAACCGCTGACACTAAAGTCGCTCCGAACACGCCCTTAGGCTGGCTACTTTGAAGGTACGTACTCCGGACTATACCTACTAGTATTTGTCAGCCGGTTGAAGGTGTCCGATTAAACGTACGGTATGGAGGGTGTTTAACGTGTATGGTGTCTAATCATATCGTTTAACGTGATTTGACCTCGGATTGACGGCGGCCTTTCCCGTGTTATCCGGATGAGGTAGTTTAACCGGATGACATGCGCGTCGTTTGATTGGCACCAATTTTGGCGATCATCTTCGAATCCGATGGAAACCTCGCAGCTGCTGCAGAAGGACCAGCCCCAGAAGGCGTCGCGGTCCACGCCGCTCAAGATCGCCGCCGTCGCCGTCCTCGGACTCGTCGGGTCGCTTGTCGTGTACTCGTCCGTCTCTTCCCACCATGGCACCACCGGCGCCGCGACGTCGACTGAGTCCAACCCGTCGAACGTGTGCCTCACGTCGCGCTTTCTCACTCTGGACCAACTCAAGACGTGCGTGCACTCGATACCGTACAACGCGACCCAGAAGACCCTCGTCCTCGACCACATCCGCCGCACGGTACACCATCATCACGACTTTCAACCAATGGTTTGAGATGCTTGTGTAGTTGCCCAACTATGTGTTTACGGAAATCGCCAAGGCCGAACATGCGTTTGGGCCGTATACGTTGGCGCCGGTGGACTTGGCGGCCGAGTTGGCTGCGATCGAAGCCGCCGACTTTCCCAACGACCTGGCCCTTCACGACGCCCTCTACAACGTGTTTAAGCAACTCCAGGACGCGCACACGACGTACCACAAGCCCAGTCTGTACTCGCAATTCTACGCCCTGCAGCCAGCCTCGCTCATCTCGGTCGTGCGCAACGACAAGCAAGTCCGTACAGTGTCTCTCTCTCCGATATATGTCAATTTACACTCAAACATCATCCTTGTAGATCATTCAACTGGCCAAACCCGACGCGACCGAAGTCAGCATCTACCGCGAGTTCTTTCCGTCGGAAACGCATGACTTTGACGTGGTCGGGTGGGAAGTGGTGCGCATCGACGGCGAGCCGGCGCTGAGCGTCCTCCGATCGTTCGCCGACGACCACGTGGGTATTCTCAAGGACGGTGGCACCCGTTTCAACCTGGCCGTGTCGGGGTTCGGCACTGGCCGCGGGCAGTTTGTCTACCGACCACTGTCTTCGTTGGACGTCCCGACCAAGTCATTTGTCGAGTACTCGCTGTACCACGCCGCGACCAACCAAACCAAGACCGTCCAGTACAACTGGATCGGTCTTAACGGCGTCGCCAAGCCAGGTACGTACATACCTCCATCTGTACTTTGTATTCCAAAGTATGGAGTGACGACCATCACTCGCTTTTTAAGAATGAAGATTCGATGTTGAAGAGTGAACTTGATTCGCCACTGGATTCGTGTTCTGGGTTTTTGATTGGTCAATCAATTATCTGTTGATCATGTGTGTGGTGCACTCGAATTTCGAATCCGGATGTGTTTCTATGGAAGGAGTTCACACTAATTCGTGTCAGTGTTGAATTGTTCGGTGAATTTTATTGGCTACTTGAATAGTGTTCTGGTTTTTGATTGGCCGATCGATTGTCTGCTGATCCCACTCCAATTTCATGACATGGTGTATGTGTTGGTCGAGTAGGTCGTGCCCTCCCTGCCTCGAGCCACAATGGCAAGCTCGAGCACTACTTTGAACGCCTCGTCCGGCACCTGATCTACCACAGTCTGTTCGAACCCACGCCCGAAGTCTCGTACGACACTGTCGACGGAGATGCGTCCGTGGGAGTACTCAAGATCGCCGCGTTTTCCGCCATCGGCGGCGAAGACAGCGCCACGTTCACGGAGGAGTTCACGGCCAACGTCACGGACGCGCTCTCCGAGTTCGTGCACTCGAACAAGACGACGCTCGTGCTCGACCTCACGGGCAACGGCGGCGGCGACATCTGCTTGGGGTACGCCACCCTCCGGTACTTGTTTCCGCAGCTCGACCTGCCGGGGCCCCGCGAAGGCACGGGGCCGCACACGGAAGCTGTGTACCACGTACAAGCTAGTCCGTTGATCGAGTTGCTCGCGACCCAAGGCGAATCGTTGCTCCAGAACGACCCCATCAGCTGCACCAGTGAGTTTTGCCCCAGTCAGTGGTACAGCACCACCACGAAACGGCAGTTCTTGAACGCGTCATGGGCGACCCAGGGGGTAATACATATATATATATATATACATGTGTCCTTTTGCCCAAAATTTGGCTGACTTTTATGCTGATTCGCCAAGTCTATCTATCGATCGAGTTTCTTTGTACTGACTTTAGCACGTAAAAACGTAAAAATCGTCCTGTATTTATTGTGCTTTCGAGTGAAATTTCGTGTTGTAGCGTGGTTTCTCGTTGGAATTTAAATCGATTTGATTGGCTACCTCAGATGAGCTCAAAATTATTAGCCAATCAAAACCTTCTCCATGAAATTCAACCAATCAGATCGATTGTGGATCGGTTTGGCAATCACATACACATAGTAATCCTTCACAGTCAACGTTGAATTGTTTTTCATTGGCCACTAGATTCGTGTTCTTGGTTTTGATTGGTCGTACATCGATTGTCGGCCGAGTTCAATACAATATATAGATGTTTTCATTACTTTTCGAATGTTCATTCTTGTGTAGGTAACCAACACAGTATTGGGAAATGTGAGCCAGGGACTGTACTACGGATGCAGCTCATACAACGACTTCTTTCCCCCGCCAGGCGCCAACTTCAAGGGGCTGTCGGCTGATCATGTGATCTTAGTCTCCCACGGGTACTGCGGCAGCACGTGCTCGGTGTTTTCGAGCTTTATTCAGCAGCATAACCTCGCCCACACGGTTGCGTTTGGGGGGTACAAGGACGTGGCGCAGCAATTCTTTTCGTTCCCGGGGGGCCAAGTGTACACCACGGTATGTATCGTCGCTACTAGTACTAGTAGTAGTACTAGGACATGACTGATAGGGCGCGTTGTACGACGACGCGGTGGCGTTGGGCGTCGACTCGAACGACCTCGTGCCCCAACCCTTGTCCAACATCTCAGACTTATACGCTGGCTCCACCGTGAGCTTTGCGCTGGTGGCGATTTCTCCGTGGAAAACCCAATGGAATAAGACCCTGCTGCCGCTCGAGTACACGTTCGTGCCTGCGACTCATAACCCAGTCTTCCCCGCCGACCCCCTCAACACCACCGCCTTGTACCACGCGGCCGTGTCGGTCGTCCGGAACGCCTCGTAATAGGGTTGTTTTAACACCACTCAACGTTAGTGTAATCTTCCTTGAAGTGTACTTAGTCATAAACTATTAGTACTGGACCTACTGAGAAGGCTTCAAGATGGATGATATTTTTTGCATAAAGAGGCCGATAATATAGAGTGGCTTTTCGTGCTTTTGACTGATTGATGGTGAGACATATTCACAGAGAAAACCATCGGGGGGAGCATAAGTTCTTGTAATCCGTATAAAACTGAGCTATAAATCTGATCGAGTGGAGAGTTGCTCGTACACTACTACAGCTGTACAGTTGCGTAGACCTACGACTTATGATAAATAATAATAGTATCCGTGGTGCGATTTGTCGTAGCCTTGCTGCAGAATCTAGTTATAAACTAACCTCGAAATTACTTTTGACCAATCATTGAGCGCATATTGCTGGCAACTGTAAGTGATTGGCTGTTCGTGGTCAGATCCCTTCAACATGTTTTACAATAAACTGGTCATAAATATCATAAAATTCATTATATCCAATCAGAGCGCATGAATAAGTGTACGTGGCTACGATTGGTGGATGGTTTCCAACAGACATTGATTATCCGGACATCGAGTGAGTCGAATCCACTGCCACCACAGTTGACATCTGCTTCGGTCTCGAACGCATGTCTTCGACCCATTGCGATGACATCGAGCTCCTGACCATCGCGTGCGACCCTGAAGGCTTCTTTGTGTGCGTCCTCACTATAATCGGACTCATCGCTGTGGCGGGCATGATGGCCGGGCTCACCATGGGTCTGTTGAGCCTCGACCAGCTGAACCTTCAAATCCTCCAAACTTCTGGCGCCGACGACGAGAAAGTCCAAGCCGAGCGCCTCCTGCCCATCGTGAAGAAGCACCATTTGCTTCTCGTGTCCCTGCTTCTGTTCAATGCCGCGGCGAACGAAGCACTGCCCGTGTTCTTGTCTCGCGTCGTCACGGAAGCGCAGGCCGTGATGATCTCGGTCACGTGCGTCCTCTTCTTCGGAGAGATCATCCCGTCCGCCATCTTCACAGGCAAACAGCAGCTCGCGATCGCCGCCGCCCTCGTTCCCTTTGTCAAGCTTCTCATGCTCGTGACCTTCCCCATCGCATTTCCCATCGCAAAGCTCCTCGATCGATGGCTCGGCGAAGACCACGACTTTTCTCGGTATGAACGATATCGACCTACTGTTGATTTGCGTCGCCGTGCATTTTCCATGTCTTGTGGCCGCCGAATCGAATCGCAAATTGACGACGCTATTGGCTACAATCCAATTTTGAGTGGATTTGATTGGCTCTTACAGAAAGTATATTCAACCAATCACAACTCCAGCCTGGCTCCATATTGAGTAGATAGCCCACTCGAATTTTGGACGTTTAGAGCGAATTTACAGTATTATTTCCCATGTATTTTTTCATTTTTTTGTGAATTTCTCCTCGCTTTGATGATTTATAGTATAGGTTTTTCCAACCAGGACCTACAAAGTGCCTGTTTTCACCACTTTTTCACTACCAACGTAGATACAAGCGCAAGGAACTCAAGGCGTTGGTGGCCCTGCACCACAAGCAGAGCCAAAAGAAGTGGTTGCGCCAGTCGACGCGGGACCTGGGCACGTCCACGACCGCCCTCACGCCGCTCCTCGAAGACAAGCCTTCCTCGTACGGATCCGTCCGCCGGCCGCCGCCGCCGCGCTTGACACTGCGCTCGTTTTCGTCGTCGGAAGACCAGGACGACAAGATGCCGCTGGAAATGACGCCGACGGACGCGGCCGCCGCGCCGGCCGTTGTGCCCATGTACTCGCCCCCGCCGCGGCCCGAGTACGCCGCCGCGACCCCGCTCTACTCGATGACGGGTATATATATATATATATGCGTGTTCTTGTCCTTTTACCCGAAATGAAAATTGTATTATTTCGCCATGTCCGTCGATCGATTGTGGATTGAATTTTGTATGGAAATATGGTCGCCATGGAAGACATCAATACACTATGTCGAAATGTTCATGCTTTTGATTGGCTATTTGATTCACATGGTGGGTTTCGATTCGATTGTGTGCCGATTAGGTGATAGGGAAATATTATTTTTGTACTTCTGTCTATCTGTTGTGATAATAATTCATCTCTTTGTATTATTCTTTATATGGACGTTGCGATATATATATACAAATATATACACCAACTAGTAATGGATATATATATACACCAACTATTAATAGGAATGGACTAGCCGTTGTAAACATATTCTTTTGCCATGCCAAGGATATTTACGCCACAACTTCGTGGTTGGCATGGGCGTTTTTTATGATATTTCATATATTCTAGAAAAATTAATATTTGGCGTCGATGATAAATATATATATATAATTTCTAGGCAACTACCTCCACAACGACGAAGTGGCCATCATCCACGGCGCCATGGACATGAGCACGAAGACGGTGCAGATGATCATGACGCCGTTCGACAAGGTGTTTATGCTGGACGTGGAGGAAAAGCTCTGCGACACTGTCATGGTGCGCATCCTCGCCAGTGGGTACTCTAGGATTCCAGTGTACAAGGGCCACCGCACCAACGTGGTAACTAACTATCGATATATATTCCTTCTAGTTAACTAAGTCGTATCTACTAGGTGGGTCTCTTGCTGGTGAAACGACTGATTGTGCTCAATCCTGCCGAAGAAAAGCCGCTGAAAGATCTGATTTTACGGCGGCCGATTGTGATTTCCCCCGAGCACTCTTGCTATTCGATCTTGAACTTGTTTCAGGAAGGCCGGAGCCACTTTGCACTGGTGACTCCCCAAAAGGAGGCCGTAGCGGCGTGTTGGAGGGGCAACGCCGACATTGACCCATCTAAAGTGCAGATTCTTGGCATTGTGACCATCGAAGACGTGCTGGAAGAGCTCATCATGGAAGAGATTGTCGATGAAAGCGATTCGCCGCATGCCGCCGACACGTACATGGACACTGTGCGCCTGCGAGGACTCCAGCGCGCCACGACCAAACTCAAGGGGCTGCTGACCAAAGTGCGACAGCGTAAAGAGCTACTAGGCCACGTTGCCATCGATTGCGACCGATTCCTGGACTAGGTGTACTTGTAGTAGTTAGTAGTACTAAACAAGTACTACTTGTCTTGGAGTAATTTGACGAGTAGAACAAGATGGCGTGTCTTTTTAGACTGGAAACGGGCTTTGGGGGTGGCTTGGCAATATACTACTACTAGCGTTAGTAGTACGAGTCACTATCAATAGTACTACTAGTACGATGTCCATCCTAACGTTATTACAGTAGCAGGTTCACTACAACCCTGAACTTTGCAACAGTAGACAATCCAATGTTGAAACTGTCGCCGCCAGGATGTTCCATCTAACACAACATTTTTCCAAGTGCAGAGGTCCCGAACCTGTGGTGGTGTTGTGATGGCCAGCCTCGGTGCCTTGCTCAATGGTCACGCCAAAGTGCCAGAGTTTTTGTCGGCCGAGTCGGGTTGTGGCGATTTGGTCACGGTGGCGTGCGACCCCCACGGGTTTTACATGGCGCTGGCCGTGTCCGTTGGGCTAGTGGTTGTGGCCGGCATCATGGCGGGGCTCACCATGGGCCTGCTCAGTCTGGACCAGCTGAACCTCGAGATTTTGCAGACCACGGGCTCGGCCACTGAGCAGACGTACGCGCGTCGGCTGCTGCCAGTGGTCAGGCAGCACCACCTGCTCCTTGTGACTCTGCTCTTCTTCAACTCGATCGCCAACGAAGCGCTACCCGTCTTCCTCGCCCGCATCGTGCCCGAAGCGTACGCCGTCGTCATCTCCGTGTCGTGCGTGCTCTTCTTCGGCGAGATCATCCCCGCCGCCATCTTCACAGGCAAGGCGCAGCTGCCCATCGCCGCGGCGCTTGTGCCCGTGGTGCGGGTGCTCACGTTTGTGGCGTTCCCCCTTGCGTGGCCGGTTGCCAAAGCCCTCGACTGCGTTCTTGGCGACGACCACGATGTGTCGCGGTATGTTTGATAGCCTTACGGTGTAAATACAAGGCTACGGGCAACTACCTGAACGTCGGCCCTGGTGTGTAGATACAAACGAAATCAGCTCAAGGCGCTGGTGGCACTACATCACCGAAAGAGTCTAAACCAGCTGAAGAAGAGCGATACTAGCCACGCGAGTGTGCCCTTGTTGGGAAAGAAAACGTCGACATCGTACGAAGCGACAACGCATCCACCACATCCAACTGACGCGCAACCAGTGGATTCCGACGACGAGTCCACAAGTACGTCGTTTCAGTTTGAATTGGTGGAGTATGCAAACAAACCTATATGTGACAAGGTGCCCACCTCCACAACGACGAAGTGGCCATCATCCACGGCGCCATGGACATGAGCACGAAGACGGTGCAGATGATCATGACGCCGTTCGACAAGGTGTTTATGCTGGACGTGGAGGAAAAGCTCTGCGACACTGTCATGGTGCGCATCCTCGCCAGTGGGTACTCTAGGATTCCAGTGTACAAGGGCCACCGCACCAACGTGGTAACTAACTATCGATATATATTCCTTCTAGTTAACTAAGTCGTATCTACTAGGTGGGTCTCTTGCTGGTGAAACGACTGATTGTGCTCAATCCTGCCGAAGAAAAGCCGCTGAAAGATCTGATTTTACGGCGGCCGATTGTGATTTCCCCCGAGCACTCTTGCTATTCGATCTTGAACTTGTTTCAGGAAGGCCGGAGCCACTTGGCTCTTGTGACCTCCCAGAAGGTACGCCATACAAGTAATAAATAGGCCGTGCAATCCTAGCTTCATTGACTTCGACGTAGGAGGTGGTGACTGGTTGCTGGAAGGCGAACGTTGACATTGATCCATCTAAAGTGGAGATTCTTGGCGTCGTGACCATCGAAGACGTCCTCGAAGAGATCATCATGGAGGAAATTCTGGACGAAAGCGATGTCCCATTGCGGCCGCCCGCGGAACTCGCTCGGGAGCAAGGCGTGCAGTTAGCCGTCCAAAAGTTCAAGGGTCTGCTGGGTCGGGCTAAGGACCGACAAGAAAAAGACCCGGACGACGTGACTCGTGAAGCCAGCAGCACCAAGCCAGCCTCCCTCGTGATCGACGACGACGACATCGTGTGATAGAAGACTTCGTAGTGTGGAACAATTTATGATCAAAGATAGAATGGCGACACTTCAATATCGTACATCTCGAGACAAATACGTACAACGTACGGTACATTCCTTGACATTTCTAGTATAATCGTACAACGTACATTGCATGTTGTACTTGGACACAGTCCATACAGTCGTGCACTCTGGTCAATCTGAAACCGTCGCAACGGTTTGGTCCCAACCTTTTAGTCCGGAGTCTCGCTGCTTGTTGATAGCACTCGAGGGCGGCAGCGATGAAGGACCTTGTTGCCACAGGTAGCTAGTTAGCTATCTGCATCTACCTCGTCCTCTCTGTCACTCACAGTCTGTACGTCGATTGCAATGTAGACCACAGCGAGGGCGACTACCGGTTCCCGTCTCTACCACACGTCCACCTCGTGAAAGTCGAGTGGCTCAAGCCACATGAAGCCATCGTGTCCGTGGACCACGTCGAAGCGTTGTTGGCCGCGACGCTGTCGTGGGGCGCGTACATCCGGCCGCTGTTGGTGGACATCAAGACGGGTGCCATCTTGGACGGACACCACCGGCACCGCGTGGCCCAGCTGCTGCAGCTGCACCAGGTGCCGTGCGTGCTTGTCGACTATCTGTCGGACTCGTCCATCGCCGTCGAGCACTGGCAGCGCGGACGCGTCGTGGAGAAGCAGCACGTGATCGACATGGCGCTGTCGGCGCATGTGTTTCCGCCCAAAACGAGTCGGCACTCGATGACCGTCGACTCGCTCGGGCACATCGCCGTGCCCCTGACGCTGCTCCAGCAGCCCGCGCCGTTCACAGGTGTCTATTCCAACCACCCTCTCAAGCGGCACCTTCCTCCCACCGACAACGCACAGCTCCCCAATACCAACGCCAACAACCGGGTGTGGGCGTGTTAAGTGTACTAGTGACATTTGGTTATATCCTACTATTAATAGTGTCGATTTGGTTTTGAACAAGGGTATTATACTTCAAGTAGGATACAACATGTAGTAATATGTACGCTGCTACAGGGTTCGATCGGTGCCACCGTCCCGACACTAAACGAAGCTAAGCGGACACTTTAGCCTTTTTAGGGTCAACCCTGACTACTATAGTAGTACTCCGATCACAACGCTACTATTAGTACAGAGTATAGGCTCACCGTGGGCATCTATATATATTATATATATATATATATATATATATATATATATATATATATATATATATTCATCCGACAGAAGAAAGTAAATTAAACATAACGTTAGTGGAAACTACTACAACTAGTACTACTACCAGTACTTTGTCGTATATACTAGATTCAGTTATGTGTCTACTACTATTACTACGTGCTTCTCGACAACAACGGCGACGACTCGGATGGCATCGAGATGGCCCACGACGTCGGACTGGGCGCACTCACGTCGTGCACTGTCGCATGGTCGACAGAGTGCCGTTTGACCTTTGAGTTTCGCGGGGTAATGGACAGCCGCTTGACGCTCTTGGCGCGGCGGATCTGTACGCGGCGCCGAGCGCGGGCGGCCCATGCGCGGAGGCGGGCGTCGCACTTGTGGAGGCCGCGCGCCTGCGCTTCGAAGCGGCGGACGTTGGCGTCGGCTCTATCGGTTTCGTCCTGGATCTCCTCCTGGATCAACTCCTCGACCACGTCCTCGATGGTGATGATCCCGACAAACTCGACGTCGTCCGGCTCGAGTGGCTCGCCCGTGACCCAGCAGTGCTGGACGTACCCCACCTGCGGCGTGATGAGCGCCATGTGGCTGCGGCCCTTCTGGAACTCGTTTAGGACTTCGTAGCAGCTAAAGTCGGGAGATACGACGATGGGCTTCTTGAGCATGAGCTCGCGCAGGGGCCGCGCGTCCGACGGGTCGAGGACTATCAACCGCTTCACCAGCAGCAGGCCTGCACACAATCATATTGATATCGTCGATTCCAAGTATGTGAACCAAATGGCAATCGAGATACGACCAATCAAAACCCAACCCACAAACCAAGTGGCCAATCAAATTATCCACTCTTCAACATTGAATTCGTGTGGGACTGAAATTAGTGTGACACTGGACCATCGTGACATACTCGAGTACAACAAAGAATCAACGATCGATACTGTAAATTTGGCAAAGAATCAGCACAAAAGTCGAAAGTTTGGGTAAAATAGGACAATATCTCAACGAAATAGTGTCAACACGGCAAATAGTGTGAGTAGAGGCGAACAAACATGGTGGCGTCCGACATACCGACGACATTGACACGGTGCTTTCTGTAGACGGGGATCCTCGAGTGGCCGGACGAGAGGATGTGCGCGAGGCAGTCCTTAGTGAGACGACTGTCTTCATCCAGCATGAACACCTCGGACCACGGCACCATGACGTCGCACACGGTCTTGGTCGTCAGGTCCAGCGCGCCGTGGATGATGGTGATCTCGTCCGTGTGGAGGTGGGTCGCATGTGGCAAGAGTACGTGGTCGACTTCATCGAGAAGGTGCTCGGCCACGGCGCTGTAGAAGCCCGCGGATCGCCGCGCCCTCATGGCGTTCTTCGACGGCGAGTACGACAGCATCGAGCCGCGACACGGCAGCGGATGCGCCTCCTTCTGCAGCGCCACTAGCGCCTTGAGCTCCTTGCGCTTGTACCGCGTCACGTCGTGGTCTTCGCCGACGCACCAGTCGAGCATCTTGGAGATAGGAAATGCAATCGGAAACGCAAGGATCATGATCAGTTCGACAAACGGAACGAAGCCCGCCGCGATCGCAAGCTGACTTTTGCCTGTGAACACGGCCGACGGAAGGATTTCACCAAACATGAGCACGGACGTGACGGAGATGACAATCGCTTGCGTCTCGGGGACGAGCCGCGCAAGGAATACCGGCAACGCCTCGTTCGCGGCGGCGTTGAAGAGAAGCAGCGTCACGAGCAGACGATGATGCCGCTGGATGAGCGGAAGCACCCGACTCGCACGCTCCTTTTCCACATCTGTGCCCTCAAGTTGGAGGATTTGAAGGTTGAGTTTGTCGAGACTGAGCAATCCCATCGTGAGGCCGGCCATCATCCCGGCCACGCATATGGTCGCCACCACAATGCCCAAGGACATGTAGAACTCGTACGGGTCGCAGAATGGACTCAGCAGCTCGCCGTCACATTCCTCCGTGTGGCTCAGGCGAAGAAACTCCAGCACTTCCTGCAGCATGCCCGAACGAATGAGAGTGGGCATGCAATTTTTGTTGAAAAGATCGTCCGGATAAGCCCACCAGACTCTGAAACCGATCCCGGTTACTCATGTGAACGAACCATCAACAGTACTTTTATTGTATTAACGTTATAGTTCCTCAACAACTTCGACACCAATGCAAAGACTTATGTTGTAGCTTGCTACTACTAGTACTACTACTAGTACGTAGTAGTCGAGATAAGCTAGAGAAGTGACGCTCTGCACTGGGCCGCCCACGCCGTTTTACCTTTGAGCACGTCAACATCCCATGAGAAGCAAGTAACAGTTCTTGTGCTTTCGAGTAAAATTTCGTGTTGTGGCGTGGTTTCTCGTTGGAATTTAAATCGATTTGATTGGCTACCTCAGATGAGCTCAAAATGATTAGCCAATTAAAAACTTCTCAATGAAATTCAACCAATCAGATCGATTGTGGATCGGTTTGGTCGGCGCGATTCAATTGCACCCCCTCCCCAAATTTGTATCAAATCGACAATACACAATGGTCTTCTTTCTTTCGGATTCGGATTTGTTCACAATAATTAAGGCTTACGGAGAGCAATTCCCTCGTAGCAACACCGATGGTGTTGCTACGCAATCATTCTGACATCCATGGAAATGGGATCCGGATAAATATTCGGATGAACAATGCTTTCTTTGGTGGAGATAGCGTTAATATACTACACCTTTTTGCAGTTAAGTTGGACGAATGCCCTGTATTTGATATATTTGGTGGTGTGCCCGATATAATTGACCAGGTGCCCGTTTAATTTGGCACACGGATGTCGTGTGCCTGATATATTTGGCGGTGTGCCCGATATAATTAGCCGTGTGCCCAAGTAATTGGCCATCTGCCCGATGAATTGTGTCATGTGCCAGATGAAAATGGAAATCACGCAATAAAAAGTCAATTCAACATAGAAATAGTCGTCAAACGATAGATGCAGCATCGTTGCTGTGACGTCACATACCAACGTCCATATTGCCCATGGCCTCCGCGCTTCCATCGAAGGTGCGTTCCTTGAGGTAAATCGAAAAATGAGCTCTGCGCGCGACAGATTCAAGTTTTGGACGGAGTTGAAGTATGGACGAAACGTTGTTGTAAACTATACTTTATTCAAGTATAAATTTCGAATGCTTCGCGCGTTTTCCTCCGAACTTCAACCACATGATGTTTCCACCAAACTTGATTTGCACTCCATGGAATATAATTATTTGAGTTATTCTATTTTCATCGGGCACACGACACAATTCATCGGGCAGATGGCCAATTACTTGGGCACACGGCTAATTATATCGGGCACACCGCCAAATATATCGGGCACACCACCAAATATATCGGGCGCACGGCCAAATATATCGGGCATTCGTCCAACTTTACTGCAAAAAGATGTACTATAATAGTACGTAATACTTCGAAGTACAAACATGTACTATTAATAGTATTTGCCAAGTACCATAATATGATTACAGGTACTACTCTGTTCCGAAACATTTGTCACTTTGCACTTCCGATTGGCGGAATTTTTCTAATATGACGCCATTTTCTTATCTGATTGTCGCATCAAAACGCGCAAGATCTCAGCTTTGATTGGGTAGTTTTTGAGCCTTCCAGGTCGATTTTGTTGAGATATGACACCTCAAAGTTGGCGAGTCATCCCTAAAACACTGTCCATGACCCGCCAGTAGTTCACATTACAATTTGACACCTCCAACGTCCTACGTGCATACATATACGACCAAAACATGCCTGCTAAGCCCAACGGTGAACATGCCGGTGCCCCCGTTGCTACACCAGAACGGCCACAAGCACCTGACGTTGGAGGACCGCCGTGGAGTATATGAAATGCTCCTAAGCGCGTCAGTGGGTGATATGCTCCCTCGTGGAGCGATAACCAAGGCCGCACAACAGTTTGGATGCCACGTACGGACGATCTCTCGCCTCTGGCAACGTGAACGACTCTCGCTTCGCGGCGGTGGCCACACCGCCGATGCAAGCACGAAAATGCGTGGTAGTACTCTATAAATCCATACATATATTAGTTGTACGAATTATACAATATTATAGGTTTACTTGAATAGGGAATACTGGCCGAAAACCTAAGCGAACGACTCAAGAAATTGAAAGCGCCATACGTGCAGTGCCCCACATGTCGCGACAGATACTTCGGTCACTCTCTGCTGCGAGTGGAATACCTATGACGACGATCTTCCAACACAAGAAGGCCACACCAAGGTTCAAGTCTAAGTCAAGCTATGTCAAGCCCTTCCTCACGCAAGGCAGCATCGATGCTCGTTTGAGGTATGCATTGTCCTTCGTTCGACACTTGCCAAATGGACGCCTCTGCTTCTCCGATATGCACGAATATGTGCATATCGATGAAAAGTGGTTCTATTTGACAAAGGTCAAGCGAAGGTACTATGTATATGATGACGAGGAAGTGGCCGTAAGATCGGTGAAGTCAAAGAATTTCATCACGAAGGTGATGTTTTTGTCCGTTGTCGCTCGCCCCCGTTACGACCATCATGCCAAGAAGGTCTGGGACGGCAAAGTTGGCGTGTCGCCGTTAGTCTAAGTGTCTCCAGCCGCACGATCAAGTAAGAACCGACCCAGAGGGACGTTGATCACCGTTCCTCCAATCGTGAATTTCGACATGTACTTCGACGCGGTGGTCAACAAGGTTGTTCCAGCAATTCAAGCAAAGTTTTCTGGTGGTAGCACGCGCGGTGATGTTTGGATCTAACAAGATAACGCAGGTCCACATCGACGAGTCACGAGAGCGTTGCTTCAAGCGCATGGTGTTAGTGGAATTGGTGTCGTCAACCAACCACCTAACAGTCCAGATTTCAACGTCTTAGATTTAGGATTTTTTAATTCTATTCAAAGTCTACAGTATCAAAAGTCCACTCGTTCAATCGAGGAGCTTATTGATGCTGTAGAAAGCGCTTTCTATGAGTTGCCGACGGATAGACTTGCAAAGACAATCATAACGCTTCAAAAAGTTATGGAAAAGTCCATTGAAATACATGGGAGCAATGGCTACAAACTTCCTCATATGAGGAAGGATGCATCCATTGCTAACTTTGCATTGTATAATGTCGAGTGCGATGCTTCTTGGTATGAGAATGCGTTAACTCATATTCATGAGCGGCTGGGGGAGGAGGCCACCATGGAGGCCTTGATAAATTCTCTTGATTAAGTTGTCGTCGTCAAGTTAAAAAAATACAATATAATTTTTGACGTAAATATGTTGTTTGGGAGTTGCATACAAAAATCAAGTTCTTTGGAGTGAACGTCCTATGCTTAAATCAAATGAAAAAGACCCTGACAAATGTTTCGGAACAGAGTAGTAATAGTTTTACCTACAAATACCTGACGAGTCGAAGTCGCGGATGTAGGTCGTGGTGCCAAAGCCGCTACTAAAATTCTACTACCTCTGTTCGGAAATAAATCAAACAATCAGAAAAAATGGAAAATAAAGAGCAACACAAAAAAATTCTTGAATCTACGAACATGTCCGGATAGAGGAGAAAATAACGAATCCAATCGCAGTGCTTTCCCACCAAAATTCCACCAATCATAGATGGCCGTCACGTTTGAATATTTAATACATTGTTTCATATAAAATCGTTATCCGGATAGCCGGTTACGAATAATACCAGTGTATCCGTATGATTGACTCGAGTTCAACAGCTCAGTTTGAAATATGCGCGCGTCACCGAAAGCCAACTTAAACAACGACATAGCGTCAAAGCGTTCTCCACCTTCTCCTGACGTGCCTTCGGGAAGTCAAATTGCCTCACGGCTCGTTTCAGTTTGTCGCTGGGAAGTTCGGCGTCACTCGCTCCACGATCCGCTTGATCTGGCTACGCGCACAGGTCGACTTGAACAATGGCCAGCGCACCTGCGAAAGCGTAGCGTCACAAAAGGTTAAGTGTGGATGTAAATTGAAACATGATGGCATTTCTTCTCGACTTAAGGAGCTGCCAAAAACCTCACGCAAAACGATGCGCGCCGTCGCCGCTGGACTTGGCATCCCCACGACAACCCTCCACGCGTACTACAAGCGTGGCGCCATCGTCAAGTACTCTAGCTACGTCAAGCCCGCGCTGACGGATGCCAACAAGGTTGCACGTCCTGAAGTGGGCTCTCGACCACGTCGTCGGCGGCTCGTCGCTGCACTTCAAGAACCTGATGTGATATAATTAAATACACTTTCTTGCATACTTAATCATAAATACTTTTTAGATCGCTCTGCGTCAAAATTTGTTTGATTTATTTCCGAACGTCAAGTTTTGCGATTGTTTGATTTATTTCGGAACAGAGGTAGTAACAGGCATAACTTATATAAGTATGAATGTTACCAGGTGGTTGGCGGATGGATGATGCGGTTTCAGGTGCTACAATTGAATTCAAATGAAAAGTACTCGTAGTGGACTAACAATTAGAACTCACCCCGGCTTTGCCGAGTTGGCGTTGCTTTCTTTGGTGGAGATAGCGTGGCTAATAATACAAACAAAATATATACACCCGACACGTACCCGACAATTTTCACAACCATTGGCAACCCGACACGAGGATTGTGACTTGATTCGCCAACAATGTTTGTCGTCTAATCATTCGACGAAGATCTTGTCGTGGGAGCAACATTGAATTAACATTTAACACGTCGCGATGCCATTGGGCAACTAGAAATACTGCATCGGCTACACCGCAACTATTCGCGTTAGCCCATTGTGCAAAATGGAAAGCGTCTCAACTAAGCAAACCATCCAGGGCTCGTTCCGCAGACCTCAGCACGACGGACATACTATACATACCAGATTAAGTTCCAAGAGTTCTGCGTATCACACAAGCACGAAATTGCTCCTGCATCACCAACCACAGATGACTACACCGACGATTTCTTTCACCATTTCTACTCACTTGGACGAAAACCACGTACCATCGACTCAGCCAAGACTGTATTAGTCGCCTACTTTAAGGAGCAACATGTTGAGCCTAACTGCCCAAGCGACACTGTCCAAGCAAGATATCGTCGGACTTCAAAAGTACAATAGACAAAATAACGGCGATAACGAGAAGACGGTACACCCACTGACAAACGACGGTCTGTCAATTGTCGTCAATGCATGCATTTGCCAAGCACAACCCATTTGTCCGGACTATGTTCGGCATCTTGTTTTCCTGCTGCTACTTTGACTGCTTCCGCATCGGTGAAATATTGGGGCTGTAGTGGGGTGACGTATCCTTGGGAAATTCAGCACATGGTGCTTTTGGCTCTGTTCGGCTCCATTGGCATAATAAGGCGAGTGTCGAAAAGGAATACCAGGTATATCACCGAGTCAATGAGGACTCATACCCTTGTCTGCGCGTATGTGGGTTTTATGAGGACTACGTCGAGTTGGTTGCGGCGACATTGATGTAGACGCCAAGGCAGACGTTTGTTTTCCCTCATGTGGTCATGTTACCAAGAGGAAACGTGAATGTGGACTGGTTCAATGCACTCGAGCTGAACTTTGTGCGCCGACAGCTCAACGACATTGTTGAATACAGCCATGAGATACCGGTCGGGATTTCATTGCAGAGTATGCGGTGCGGCGTTTGCTTCTACCGTGTCTTTGAGTCGCCTGAGGGGCGCTTTGACCTCCGAGACCTCATAGCCAGGTGTTGGTGGGGTGATGCGAAGACATGTTGCGAGTACCTTGTCACCTGGACTTTGAGCAATGCAATTGACCATCGCTTGCTGTTGGAGAAACGGTGTTTGGTTCCATGTGGCGTGCAAGGCAGCAATCTTGGAGGGCAGCTCACGGCGGACGTAGTTGTTGTGGCCGTGGTGAAGTGTTTGTGCGTGGAATCAGTCGTGCCATAAGTTGGACCCCCTGTGGTGAACCGGCAGAGACAATGCAATAATTCGCAGTGCCAAGGGTCATTCCACCTGCTCATTCAGGGAAGGAAACCTGGGAGCAAAGGTTTTCAGTTAATCCCAAGCGTGGTATGTACTGTGTCCTCAAGGATTATTCGAAGGAAACGATCAAGAGCGACCGCAGTAAGTACTCAGAGCGCCAAACGCTTGCGATTTCATTCAACAAGTATCAGAGCTATGCTTAGATTGAGATTGAATACGCTGGTCATGCAGATTCGTACTGGGGTTTGTTTCAAGAAGTTAGGAAGAGAAATAGTGAAACAGGTTGTAAATTTATGTATATTGTTTTCATAGTCCATGGTTGATTTTAATAGCTAATTGACTGTCAGGTTCACCATTGGGTTTTCAATTGCCAATTTTAAGCCTAGTTTACCAAGGCAAAGGATAATCTTTGTATTCCGTCAAGCAAGAACTCCGTTAACCCGTTGTCTCGGTCGATTCCCTGAATTGGACTGTGTCACAGTGGAACCGAGTTGTGGGATGGTGTTGACGGCCTTGGCAGTCCCCCGGCCGCAAGCAGGTTTAAGACGAAGATGGATGTTAATGGCAAATTGGAAAATGATCAATCAAAGTGAATCCATAAGCTAGATGTAGTTTTATATGACAGTGCGAGCATGACAGAACTAATATGAAGATCATTTCTCTACAATTTCAACCAATCAGAGAGTTGTCGGGTAAATTTGTCGTGTGGGACGATTAACTGTAAGGGATACGTTTATTGTGCTTTTCACATATTCTGGCTAATCTGAGCCTAAACCCCCACTATTAGTGAGCATGCATGCAACTTTTAGGATCCATGGAACTTCATTTATTAAACTGAAGTAACCCTTATTGCTGCAAGTTTTATGACGCGACGTTTTGATTGGATGGTTTATCAAAAAATCACAATTAGCAAATATGAAGCGTTTGCCCGTTTCATTTTGGCAAACACGGGTCTTTACGAGTATGATAAGCCTAGACATGAGATGGTGATGCGTTATTCTAGTGCAGATCTACTCTATTGATGTTGATGTCGTTGTGTGCGCATTGTTGGGTCTCTCACGCAGGCCTGTTACGCGTTTTGTCGCACAGTTCTCCGCCACGGGCACTGTCGATTCAACGCGCAGGGGAACGAAGAAGACCCGGTGGCCAAACACTGTCAATGCGTGGATACTGCAGTACACAATAGTCCACCCATGCTTCTACATTGAGGAGCTTCAAGAAGCGCTCCGGGCTGAGTTCCCGTCCTTGTTAAACATTTCCCAAGCTACGATTTGCCGTGCGTTGATGCACGATTTGGATTTGACAAGAAAAGGTTATAAATTTCGAACTAATTCTCAATTTTAGCATTTTAAAACATGTTATTACTTTGTGAAATAGTTCTGGAAAAACGAGCGCGAGAAGCTGCTGATTTCGAGCTCCAAGACTATTACAGAAAGCTGCAGCCATTTTATTCATCGCGAGATCAGCTGATCTTTGTGGACGAGACGTCTAGAGATGGGCGAGACTCCATCAGGAAGTACGCGTGGTCGAAAAGGAACACACGCGCGATTGTGGAGCTCCCATTTTCACGTGGGCGACGTGTGTCAGCACTGGCAGTCTTTTCTACAAGTGGATGTTTGTCGTAAGGTTATGTAGACGGTAAAATTCTTTTTTAACATTTTCATTTTGTAGCAAATAGAATCACAATTAATGAACAAATAACTGGGCACCTTCGACCGCGAGATCTTCCACAGCACTATTTTGGAGCGTGTTCTGCCGTATTTGAATCCTTGGCCGCTTCCAAGGTCAATTCTAATACTGGACAACGCGAAAATACACATGTACAAGGAGCTCGAAGACGCTGTCCATTCAACTGGGACGCTTCTCTTCTTCTTGCCCCCGTACTCCCCACAATTAAATCCGTTTTTGACTTTCGTGCCAAAGAACCACTTCTCGTCCACATGAACGACGTTCATCATGTCCTCAAAGCTGAACAAGTCCGCGTTGGTTGCATGGACATGCTGCAAGGACACATGAGTCGTACGGACTTGTTGGCCTCCGTGAGGGGTGTCCTGATGTTGCTCTTGTACTTGACGAATATACCCCGCTTATAGTAGTCGTGTAGCGTTGACCGGGAAAGGTGCAAGGCCGCCGCAATAGACCGAAACGTAGTCGGTCTCGCTTTGGCACGTTGCGCAGCCGCTCAGCAACCGATTCGTGTTTGAATTTACGTCCACAACGACCTTTTCGATGGGAAGCGACATCACCGCATGGACGACGCGTGTCATGCATCGTGACATTGGCTCGCATCCAGGCCCAACTCACAGTAGATCTGTTGATCCCAAATAGAACGGCCACGTCCTGCAAAGCTCCGTATGGCAGTGACTTGTGGTCAGCGAGGAGTCTTAGAAGCTGCTGCAGCATAGCGCTTCTTTCTGTATTCGTCAGGTTTGTCTTGGCGCCCATTTTGGTTTGATGCCATGTCATGAAGGCCTGTGTACGGATAGTATCAGTATCCGTACACATAGCGTACACGAAACCGGATTTTCGGATACGGATGTGGAGTCAAATTGACCATATCATATAAGCTTTGTATCGAACTTTCCAACCCAGTTTTCTACTTTGATTGGCTCAATTTTGGGGCGAATTCGTTTGATTGGTGATCTCCTGGTTGAACTCTACAATCCGATATACTTTGTTCCATAGTATTCAAATTTGTTCACCTTCGTTTTCCATATATTCTGAATCATGCAAATATTCCCGGACAGATGTAGTAATAGTTTTACCTGCGAAGTCACGGATGTAGGTCGTGGTGGCAAAGCTTCTACTACAATTCTAACAGACATATAGAATATATATATGATTGTTACCCGGTTGTTGGTGGATCGACGATGCGGTTGCTGGAGCTACAACTAAATTCCAATTAGAACTTCTCGTAGTGGAAACATTAATGCAATGAGAAATACAATTAGCACCCATTCTGTGATACCTGGTTGTTGACAGACAGGTTCTCTGCTGGAGCTTCAACAAGTCGACATCAGAATACATGGTTTACCTACATGATCTTACTGGAGTTTCATGGGTAGAAATGCCTAAATGGTTGCATATTTGTTTCAACATTGTATTGTCAAATTGATTCGAAACTGGAGCCATCAGCAGAATCGAATGCCTTGAGAGAATGGATTAAAGGACCGCCTGAGCCAACCAAATCACTTCCTATCGAGTTTCTGCCAATCCAAACGTTTGACCCCTCCGCGTTGGGCAACACCACATATATACTCATCGTTGTGTTGTACTACTCTGGTCCGATCAAACGTTAACACTTTTTTCGCCATTGGCGGATTTTTCTAATATTTTGCCTTTAAGCAATCTAATTGGCTCACAAGAAAGCGCAAGCTCTCCACTTTGATTGGATGATTTCCGACCAAACTAATTCCTTTTTGCTCAAAAGTTATGGCGGCAAGAATTTGTTCACACATTCGTTAGCAAACATAACGACCCGCTGAGGTCTCATATTGCATTATCAACCTTCCTGGTCAACACACTTCCTCTTGCAAAGCGATCTTTCTAGTCAACTATGCCTTCGTCATGCTCTCAGAGTACCTACAACCATCGCACTGGCGACAAGAAGCTCACCGATGCTCAACGCCATTCCATCTACGAGATGCTTCTGGAACGAAGCGTAGCCGGAGAACTACCCCATGGTTGCGCAACACAAACTGCCCGACTATTCAACTGCACGAGACAGACGATTTCGAACGTGTGGGCAAGAGGACGCCTCTCACTACTCAGCGGTAGCACGACGGCCGACGTGTCGGCAAAATACAAGGGTAAAACCTCTATAATATAATATTTCTGCGTCAGACTATAATTTTGTACATGTCTTAATTCAAAGAGTTTTACGATGTTAGGGAATCAAATCCGAAAGATTCAACACTCTGATGAAGAGATTGAGAGTTTGATTCGGGCTGTCCCTTTGCATGATCGGCAAACGATGCGTACACTAGCAACCAAGACAGGTCTCTCGAAGACAACGATCATTCGTCACATGCAGCGAGCAAAGACATTAAAATTCAAGTCAAGCCATTCGAAGCCGTTCTTAACGGAAGCCAACACGAAAACCCGTTTGAAGCAC